AGAGAGAGAGAGAGAGAGAGAGAGAGAGAGACAGCGTGAGCAGGGGAGGGTCAGAGAGAGAGGGAGTTACAGACTCTGAAACAGGCTCCAGGCTCTGAGCTGGCAGTCAGCACAGAGCCCGACGCGGGGCTCGAACCCACGAACGGCGAGATCATGACCTAAGCAAAAGTCGGACGCTTAACCGACTAAGCCACCCAGGCGCCCCGGGTTCAAGCCATTTCTGCGTTGCCATTTGGGGCGGAGCGTTCTCCCTTGTGTAGGTCTGTCCAGGTGCTGCAGGACCTGTAGCCCCCCTGGCCCCCAGATTACCAAATGGCACAGTGCCCTTCTCTGTGCCAGTGCCTGTGACAATGACAACCAGCTGTTCCTACGTGTGTCCCAACACTCTTGAAGGGAGCAGTTACCAGCAAATTCAAAACCTGCCCCCCCCCCCCGCCTGGCTGCGTATCCCCAGGGATTCGAACACTCATTTCACGTGAAAGGCTGTTCAAACCCTTTCCGCTTCTCTGTGACCCGGAAATACCCTCTGCTTCATCATTACGTTCACCGTTTGCTTCCTCAGCTTCCAGTTAATCGTCTTCATTTCTTTGTCTCTCTAGACGCTGATCTTCGAGGGCAACTCCTTGCTGTAACCTCCAGAGTGTGTCAAACGGATTCGTCACTTGGTAGGTACACTTGAATTGATCTCGATGACATTCGCTCACTGATGGCTCCAAGAGCCTGAAGGAGCACGCAAGCCAGCTTTGTAGCATCTTGCAGCTCCTCTTGAGGCGGCTGCTATTCATGTTGTCATAGGTTAAGGTTTAGCACTGTAAAGTTCCTGCGATGTGCCAGGCACCATTCTAGGCTCTGAAGATCAACTGGTGACCCAGACAGATGCCAGTGGCAGCCCTCATGGAACTTCCAGACCGGGGGTGGGGGCGGGGCAGGTAAAAACCATGGGAACTCATGCACATGATAATCGAGCATTTTGGTGTCCCCCTGAAAATAAGATGGGGTGCTCTGCTTCACCATGACAGGGGTGGGGGGCAGTCATGCTGTCTAAGATAGTGTGCTGGGAAGGCTTCTCAGAGGAGGTGGCGTTTGAGCCGAATGTGAGAAATGAGAAGGAGCCAGCCACGAGAAAATGTTAGGGGAGAGAGCACTTCAGCCAGAGGGAACCGTAGGTGCAAAGGCCCTGTGGAGTGTGAACTTGGTGGAACTGTGAGGAATGGTAAAAAGGCTGGGTGGAGAGAGAACAAGGGGTACACAGTGTGTTGAACCGGGCAGGCGGGGGCTGGATTTTGAGGGTAAGCAGTTTGAATTTTGTTCAGAGCATGATGAAAAGCCACTGGAGGGTTTTGAACAGAGCAACACAATCTGATTTGAGGTTTAAAAACAAAAAATCATTTTGGCTGGCACTTGGCATAGACTCTGTAGGGCAAGGACAGCAAGGAGAGACTGGTTGGGAGGCTGTGGCGGTCATCCAGGTTCCCGATGGCGCTGGCTTGGACCCGAGGAGCAGCAGCGGTGATGGAGGTGGCCTCGGAACGTGGTAAAGGTGGGGTCAGGAGGACTTGCTGATGGGTTGAAGGTGAGGGGGAGGGAGGACAGCTCCTGGTTTTGAGCCTGAGCTGGGTGGGTGGCTGTGTTTAGGAAGATGCTAATTGGGCGCCTGGGTGGCTCAATCGGTTAAGGAAGATGGAACTCTCTAGGCGGGGTTGGAGGGGTCAAGTTCAGCGTGGAGGGCAGTTTAGGGGGCAAGGAAATGAAGAGATCTGTTGCACTTGTTCGCTAGGGACGCGAACGAAACCTTCAGCTTGGAGACATTGAATAGGCTATTGAATGTCAGCGTAAGCGGGACCCAATCTTTACTTTTTTATTTAATTTCATAAAAATGAGATGCAAATTCAAGCCACTCCAAGTTGCCATTACCTACTAGTAAAGGTGGCAGAAACAAAAATGGTAACGATCCAGGGTCAGCAGGGCTACAAGAGACTCGGGCATGTTACTAGGGCTGAGGTCGCGATAAATCGTCATAATCGTTCACAAGAACAATTTGCCAATATGTCATGAGCCTCATAAGCTCACTCCTGCCCCTTGACGTGGTAATATGTTTTGAGGAAAGAGTTTGTTAAAAAAATGTGTACAAAGATGTTCAGAGTAGTGCTCTTTCCCATACTAGTAGTATAGCATGGTAGTGGTGCTCCTTTGGGAAGGATAGTGCTCTTTCTTTCTTTCTTTCTTTTTTTTTTTAATTTGAGAGAGAGAGAATCTTAAGTGGGCCCCACATAGCACAGAGACTGATGAGGGGGTCCATCCCACAACCCTGGGATCATGACCTGAGCCGAAATCGAAAGTTGGACGCTCACCTGCCTGAGTCACCCAAGCGCCCCTGGGTAGCACTCTTTCAATAATAGTAATAATAATAATAATAATAATAGTAATAATAGTAATTGGAAAATGCACATCCCTAGAGGAGGGGAGTAGCTAACCAAATATATACCCAGTCTCTCTAGTGCTTCTGTAGAGTTTCTCTCTCTATGGAACTTCTGTAGGAATTTGCCGTCAGCGCGAAAAATGAGCAATGCGTTGACCGCCTCCACATCTGTTTTAGCTGTTGATGCTACAAGTCATAAGTATACAGCTGTCTTGTTTTTCAAAACCATTCCATCCTCTTTTGACCTGGCACCTCTTTCTCGCTGGCAGCGTTCCGTGGTCAAGATGCCACGGCACAGCAGGCTGCCATGAAGAGTTCACGTGCATTGTGGCTTCTCCAATCTTTCCTTCCTTGATCACATTTTCGCCATAAGGTATCGGGTAATATCCTCTTTGCAGGACTTGTATTCGGATAAATTTGCCTTAGGATTTCAAAAAAGGTCGCGAACTACTCCCACTTTGAGAAGCTGCTGAGCTGTGCCAGGCACGGTCTCCTGTAGCAGTGGCTTTTCCCCGGTAGGTGGCGCCTTGCGGGCAGGGATTTTGCTGGTTATTTTCAGGCAGCGAAGGGAAAACGGAGAAGTAGAACACGGGTGCCTTCGTGATACGCGTTTCCCACAGAGAATGTTCCAACTGTTCAGGGAGTGAGACAGAAAGCTACGTGGCCACTTGCTTTAGATCCCTGGTAGCTTTTATTTTATAACATGGAGAAGAGAAGGCAAGAAGTCTACTTTAGTAGCCTGGTGGTAAATCAATCCAAGATATAAAGTTGTGTTCCTGGCTGGAAGTGCCTGGAAAGGGCTGGGGTGTTCAGGAATGTTTCTGGGGCTGAAGAAGGGGGCGAGAGACCAAAGGCTTGGTCAGCTGGGTCTGCTCCCCGATCTGTGGCATATTTAAAAAAAATAGCTCCCCCCCTCCCGAAAGAGCTCCCTTGCTTCTGTCCTCAGCAACACAGAGAGTTAGGTAAACCCATTTGCATGGAAAGGCCTCCTACAAATCTTTCTTTGGGTTAATTTCTTTTTATTGGCTTTGGAAACACTTCGCTTTTACCAACATTATCAGACAAAGTATTGGTATGATCTCTTGAAGTAGGGAAATGAAAACAGGAAATTAAGTTGCCCAAAGAGATGAATTAACATGAATCCAGGTTTCTTCGCTTCGAGGTCAAAACTTCCTGTACTGTTAGGGAAATGCCAATCAAGACCCTGATGCTCTGTCACCTCACACTTGTTGGGATGGCTCCTATAAGAGACAAGAGATAAGGCGAGGAGGTGGAGGAAAGGGACCCCTTGTGCACTGTTGGTGGGAATGTAAATTGGTGAAGCCACTGTGGAAAATAGTATGGAGGTTTCTTCAAAAAAAAAAAAGATTAAGACTAGAACTGCCCTATGGTCCAGCTAGTCTGCCCCTGGCTATTTATCTGAAGAATATGAAAACACTAATTTGAAAAGATATGCTCCCCTATATTGATTGCAGCATCATTTACAATAGCCAAGATAGGGAGATAGCTTACATGTCTGTTGATAGATGAATGGATAAAGAAGATGTGGGAGATACATATATGCGCATGCATGTGCACACACACACAATGGGATAGTACTCAGCCATAAAAAATGAGATCTCGCCATTTACAACAGCATAGATGGACCTTGAGGGTATTATGCTGAGTGAAATAAGTCAGAAGGAGAAAGACAAATAGCATACGATTTCACTCCGATGTAGAATCTAAAAACCAAACCACATGAAAGCAAGCAAACAAAACAAAGCAAAACCAAATTCACAGATACAGAGAACAGATCGGTGGTTACCAGAGGGGAAAGGAGACGGGCTTCGAGGAAAAGGGGTAAAGGGGGTCAGTTGTAGGGTGCTAGATGGTAATTCGACTTTTGGGAGTGATCACTTTGTATTGCATACGCATGTCGGATTACATTGTTGTTCGCCTGAAACTTACAGAATAAAAAAATTTTCCTACTACACCTTAGAACAGATTTTCTTTGGGTGCAGACAGAAGAGGTTCTCTCTCAGTAGGACTCCAGTATGGGTGCTAATTTATCACTGCTGAATGGCTGTGCTCCTTTTGGTCTGTTCTCAAAGCCCCCAGGGCCTCAGTAAGCCCTCTAGGACCATCTTGATTTGGGAATTTAGTCATTCGGTGGGTCCTGTATTGGCTCTATTCCTGTTATTGTGACACTGACTGCCACTCATTTTAATTATGTGACCTTTAATTTTTCCAAGATCAAAGCCTATGGTCAGCCTCGGTTTTAAAATTGCTGTTTGGGGCTAATGATGTGTCAGAAAACATGAATGTTTAATCCACGACCTCTTGGCTGGAGAGCCAGGGAGTATTTCTATTTGGTCAAGGCTCACTGGGACTCGGTACTAGCCAGGAGCCTGCAAATTGGCTAGGTTGCTTTGACCCATATACATCTTGGCTGCCCCACTGCTTATCAATATGTTGATATAAATTTATACATCTTAAATGCCTTCAAAATGACTAGCTTAAAGGTTCAAAGGCCCGGAGAACAAAGGCAGCAAAGAGCTGCTTTGAAAGAGGATACGGAGTTGTGCAGATGGTCCTATCTTTTTTCCCACTGTTTTTAAAAACATGCCTCATTGAAACGGTTTTTCTGGCTCTCTGATAGCAAATATTTATGAGTGTGAGCGAAAGCGAGGGAGAATGAACGATGGACACTTTTGCTTATGACTCAATGCTTTTAAAGTTGTCAAGTTATACTTCAGATCTAAGAGTCCTGAGATGTAGCAGAGGAATCTAAGTATCTTCTGAGTAAAGGAACGTATTTGCGTGACCTTGAATGCGGAATTTCGGGGGTTTTCACTGCCGGTTAAAACAACCATTTTACACTTGCGAGAACATCTCGAGACTGGCTTCTTTTCTCTGTTTCCTTATTCTCCTGCCATTTGGTCAGCTTTGCCGCTGGGCATAGAGGCAAGGACAATGAGGTGGACAGACGACCAGAGAGAGCAGTCTTTTTCTCTGAGATTCTGCTAGAAATATTCCGGCATTGGGAGCATGTGGAGTGAAATGCCTTGGTAAAGCTGTATACACAAGGCACTGCTGGAATGCACACTGTGTAAACATTGTTGAATGGCTACAGATTTTTAAGATTGGAGGAGCTCTCGTTTGCCTTTGCAAAGATGTTAAAAAATAGGTGGTCTCAGAAGTGTTGCTTTCAGGGGTGCCTGGCTGGCTCGGTTGGCCGAGCGTGTGACTCTTGATCTTGGGGTT